TAAAACATATCAGTTTTCTTTTTCTGCCCAGAAAGAGAAAGAGGAGGAAAAGGAGAAAAACAAAGAGGGAGGAAGAGGAAGGTGGAGAGACAATGGGTTTGAAGATAATTTAGTGGGAGGCCACATGGGGGAGGGGACCTTTGGTGTAGTGGGAAATGAAGACTAATCATTTTTTTTTTGGACCCCTCTTCCTGAACTTTAATTCTTTACTTTTTAGACTCCACTTTGCCAGGACTAAGCAGTGTCAGTGATTGGAACTTAACCGACATTTGGGGGCCAACTCGCAGGATTCTTAAACATCACCTCATCCAGTGCCTTCATTTACTAGAGGAGGAGACTGGGGTTCAGAGAGGACACCTTGCCCGAGGACATGCAGATAGTGGCAGAGGCTGAATTCAAATGCAGGACCTGTGGCTCCCAATCCTCTTCCATCACAATCCTCATTTCCTGGGGCACTCAGAGGCCGAGTCAAACAGCCAGTATATGTTGGAGCTGGAACCCAGGACTCGCTGAAGCCAGGACTGACTCTCAGTCTGCTACCCCACGTTTCTTTTACTCCTTCTGCCTTCTTTTTCCTTCTCTCTCTTTCTATGGAGCTGGATACTATTCTCTGAGCTTCAGCAACAGAGGCAGATTGCTAACACCCTGAGGGGCCAAACAAGCCTGAGACAAGAGCTGGATGGAACCCCTTTTCTGCGTTCTAGACACACACCACTTGGCCTGTCGGGAAGCAAGGTTTTCTCTGCAGATGCAGGAGCAGACAATGAAAGAAGGGATGGCAGTGTCCAGTCCCTTCCACCCCATCTCAGGGGTGAGGGTGGGGTGGTCCTGGGGGCTTGTGGACAATGTACATACACGCCATACATTGGCCCTGCCCCAGAAGAAGAAGACTACTGATTTTGGGAGGAATATAATTCAATAAATGGCTGATGCCCTTATTTTTTTTTTTTAGGTAATTGGGGTTAAGTGACTTGCCCAGGGTCACACAGCCAGGAAGCGCCTGAGGCCAGATTTGAACTCAAGTCCTCCTGACTGCAGGGCTGGTACTCTGTCCACTGCACTGCCTAGCTGCCCTGACTTCCTTTCTAACATTGAATGGCTGCAGGAATTGTTAGAGAGTCGGAGTGGGGCCTGGGTTCTGAGCTCTGCCTCCCACACTACCTGTCTGACCCTGTATCATTATTTACCATCAGTCCCTCATCCTTAAACCCAGGGGCTTCTAAGGCTCCTTCCAGCTCTGGATCCTGAGCACAGGGTTCAAATCTTCTCTGGGATGCTTTTTGCCTGCGTTACCCTGGGCAGGTCACAAGCTCCCTGGGCCTCAGTTTGCTCATCTGGAAAATGAAGGGGTTGGGTTAGAGGGCCTCTCAAGTCCCCTCCAGCTGGAGATCCCAGGAGCCTGGTGCTACCGCTATGTATGTAGTCCTGGGAAACCTCTCTGGGCCTCGGTTTCCTCATCTGTAAAATGGGAGATAGGCCCTAGATGGCCTCTTGAGTTTTGTTTCAGTTCTAGGTCTAGGACCCCACGATCTAGGTAGCAGAGTCACCAGACTGGAGGGTGGATTAACACTTCAGCACTGATTAAAAGGGGACGAGAACCAGCTAACGACCTTGAAAACAGCAAAGAACTTTACCAAGGTCAGACGTGTCGGGGTGCCAGCAAATCAAGCAATAGCCCCATGGGAAGATCAGAAATCCAGCCGTTGGTGACAGCTGGGCCTGCTTGAAGCCAGCAAAGCCGCTTGGTGGCAGAGGGAGGGTGGTGGTAACCAAGTCCTGGTCAGGGGACTGAGGACTTCCGGGTACACGGAGGCCATTTCTGGGGAAATCTACCTGGGCACTTAGCCTGAAGCATCCTAGATTTAGGGAAGAACCTGCTGGTTCTGAAAAAGACACTTAGAGATGGACTCTGAGTTCAGATTGGGAATTCTGGCCATCACACAGAGGAGACAGTTAGGGCTTGTGGACAGCAAGGCTGACTGGACCCCTGGGAGGAATTGGGGACTTTGGAAGTGGGTCACAGACTTACCTCTAAGACCTACCTGGGGGGACTCTAGGAACTCCTGGTCTTTGGGTGCTTTCCTGGGGTCACTCTCCTTAACAGCTCAAGGTAAGGGGCTGTGGGAACGCCTTAGACTGAGAGCTGGACTCTCATTTCAGAGACCTCTTTGAACTGGCCCAGGGGCTGGGCTCCTCCTTTGTTCTAGGAGGATGGGAAGGGGCTTATTAAGTCCTGTGGAACAGATAAACAGCTAAAGTAGCCCGGGTGTTTGAGATCATGCTGTCCGTGAAACCTGAAACCAGTTTACATCTGCCTAATTAGACCTGCAACTAAGATCAGGTACAGGGGATGGGGCTTGGCCCCCCAGTGCCCGAATTTAGAGGGGTTAAGGAGATGTGGTGGAAAAATACTGGGCTTTGGAGTCACAAGATCTCGGTTTGAATCACGGCTTTGCCACTCAGCTTAGCATGTGCTTAATAAATGTTTATTGATCAATTGCCACCTGCTCTCTGTGTGGTGTTATGAGCAAGTCACTTAACTTCTCTGTCCTCAGTTTCCCCTAGATGTCCTCAACAGCTCCACTCTATGATTCTATGACCACTTTAGCAGCTAGAAACAACAGAGCTTAGCCTCTAATTAGCAAGAATAATTAGTTCATAGGGTTAGAAGAGCTAGTGTATTATGTTATTTTTTTGGAGAAGCAATCGGAGGTAAGTGACTTGCCCAGGGTCACACAGCTAGCAAGTGTCAAGTGTCTGTGGCAAGATTTGAACTCAGGTCCTCCTGACTCCAGGGTTGGTGCTCTATCCACTGCGCCTCCTAGCTGCCCCTAGTCTACTATGTTATGCAAATACTTGGTTTTTTTCCCCATAAATTGAAAATAAATAAAAATTTTAAGGGTAAGCTAACCAACTCTGGATTATAACGAGCTCCTGTATGGTCAGTCATATATGTTTTGTCCCAAGAATAAAAATTCCTAGATCTGATTGTGAATTTGCCATCATACCTGAGCGGGGGCATGACAAAATGAACAGGATGCTAGGGATGGAGTTGGGTTCAAATCCTGCTTCTGAAACTTACTGTGGGACCCTGAGGAAATAACTTCAACTTAGTGCCTCAGGACTTTTTAACTAAGTAGCTTAGCCCTGGGCCTGGTGCACAGTAGGCACATGTTTATTAAAGGTTTATTGGCACATAATAGGCACTTAATAAGTGTTTATTGGTATACTGTGGGCACTTAATAAATGTTCATTAAATCCCAGACAGGTTGAATTTTGCATTATGGGAGGGTGTTCCAGACTTGGCTCTTGGCTATATGTGACCCTACGAAGGACATTTGCTGGAGTTCCAAATCCAATTACCCTTTAAAAAATAATGGAAGCTCTTTATGGCCCCACTGCTTTGTACACATCAGGTGATTAACACATGCTTTTTTCCTTCAATGTTTGAGGGCAGAGACTATCTTACTTTACTATTTGTATCCCTAATGCTTTGTATACAGTAAGCAATAAATGCCCCCCCCCAAGCTATTTAGGGGCAGGAAGTTTCATTTTCATCTGCTTCTTTAGTGCCTGGCTCTAAGTAGGTGTTTCATAAACGCTCGTTGATTATAGGCGATGTTTCCAGTCTTAAGTTATTAAAAAATGGCATCACATCTATTTCTCCTCAAGGAAAAACAGGCGTGAGCCTCAGAATCTTAACTCTGAGGGAGGCATCGTCAGGAGTGTGTGGGCTGCTGGCAGGTGCCTGCAGGGTGTGGTACCTCTGGGTCAATAAGATTTATCAAGTACCTACTTTGTGCCAGGCACCAGGGTGATACAGAAAGAGGCCAGGCAGTCTTTGCCTTCAAGAATGGCTTGGGATGCTAGGACCTGGGCTCCTTCTAATCCTGGCTCTGCCACGGGGTCCTCGGGTGCCTTGGGGACAATCTCCCTCTCAGCCTCAGTTATACAGGAGGTGGGTGGATGGACTAAATGGGCTCCCACATTGACATGGCTGAATTATATTTATGACCCAGAAGTGAGGGGAGAAGATGGAGAGGAGAAAGCAGGCCCCAGCCCGGGGCGCCCTTCCAAGAGGAGCCAGCATGCTTGCTGGGAGCAGGTAGAACAGGGCTTGCTGCTGACCCGCACGGCCAGAATAGATGGGCTGGGTGACCCCAGGCTGATTCCTTCCAGCTCACGACTATGTAAGATCCCATAAAGGACATGAACTGGAGTTCCAAACTGGGGCCCAGTATTTGGTGTCAGAGGAACTGGGGAAGACCCCAGCTGCACACCATGGCACTCTGGCTGGGCCTCTTTAGTCAGTGAAACCAGGAAAATCTTCAACCTTAAATTAGGTCCAGACCAGTGGAGTGAACTCCCAATCAAGTGAAAAGCCTTTGATCCTCAGCATAGAAGAGCCAGGGATTCTTGAGGCTGAACGGTGAACTTTCAGTATTAAAAACTCTTGGAAAGTGTCATCAAGTTCAATAATGGGCCCTAATTCTTGGCGAAGTTGGCTCTGAGAATGTCTGATCCCGCCTGGGCCTGTACCGGGCCTGGAAGGAGAGTGCGTTTGTCTGCCCAAGGGTGACCTCTAGTGGGAGAGCTGGTCACCGGGTGTTGGGCCTGGAAGGCTGTCCTCAGGGACCATCTACTGTGCTGGGCAGAGTGCTTTACAATTTATAAAACTATCGTTTCCCTTGCTCTCACAATCCATGGGGCCTTTTACTGTACTCCCCCACTGACACCAAAACACCCCAAAACCCAACCCACCACAAGGGGATAAAAACCGCCCCAGGAAGGTGTGTGATCTCACCTCCACTGTGGCAGGGTCTCAGATCCAGAACTGAAGGGGCATTAGAGACCGACTCCAACCCTCTTATTCTATGGAAGAGGTCCAGCCCGGGGTCAGTCAGTAATCAACAGAGGTGGTCCTGGCTCCAAGATCAGTTTTCTATTCTCAACAAACCCAAACAAACAAACAAACAAACAAAAACCCACAAAGACCAGGATTCAGGGATAAAATGTTTATTGTACCAAGCTTTTAATCATATGCCCATCTACAAGAGGCAAACAAATACAATCCACGTAAAAGTAAATGATGGTTAGTAAGCTTAGTAATGGAAAACATTCTTTTTGTCCACGGACACCCCACTCTCGCACCATCTCCTTTCCCCATCACCCACCTGGTCCACACAATGGGACCATGACATCTCCAAGATTAGTTTATAAACTAGGTCCTTCCTTCACCCCACTCTTAGACGGGGAATCCGAGGAGGTGGACACTGGCTCCGTGCCACTATTGGCCACGCTTAGCAAGGCACCCGATGTCGTCTGCCCGTTCACAAATGGGCACCCCCCCCCCCCCGTTAGCAGGAAGCGGTAATACAAGTCAACATCAAACCAAAGGTCACAGGGGGTCAGCAGATGGATACAAGCAGTGAAACAATAAACTGAATCACCAGGGTGCAAAGTTCTTAAAGAATCTGCCCCTTTCCATATTGTGTGGCTGTTGTATATGTCTAAGGTCTAAATGGACTTTATTTAGAGAGAGTGGTACCAGGGCCTGTCCAAAGAAAAAAATACTCATGTATAAAACCCAGAGTAAGATAGACTTATGCAGAAGAGAATCCACAAAACCCCAACCGCCCCCCACAATTAAGGTGCAACAGGAGACCCCCTGATCAGTGGACTGCCCTTTAAGGACCTTAAAATGCAACTTTTTTGTATGAATGTACAAACTTTTAAAAGGCTTCCCACCAGTCAAGTGGTTTGAAGTCAATTAAGAGAATAACAGCACGAGAATGGGTCCAATTTGGGGCATTTCATGTGCTTTTCACAGGTGTCCATGTTTCTGATTCTAAAATGCCCAGTGATATCTGGGATGGAATTTTTTAAAAACCCATAAAACATTCATCTACAATCATTTTCAGCAATAGCAAAAATAAAGAACAAATGTTTCTCAGAAAGTGATTGAGCAGACCCTGAATGCTTGGAGACATTCACACGTTTCCTTACCATTTGTCAGATGCTAGAGGGTGGTCGAAAGAAATAAGTCGGGTCCCCTGGCTGAACCCAGGCCCATTCAAATCCCAGAATGAAAAAAAATCACATGGTACATAATGTGCGCATTAGCGAGGCTGATTTCTCCTAGGTTCTGTTGGCTTCTGGAGTTACCTTAATGCATCATAAAGAATTTGTGGGAGATCTGAGCAGATAGCGATAGCCACCACGATGCCCAGTCTCTCACAGGGACTAAGGTGAAGGCTAACAAGCCAGTTCAAGATCGCCATGAGCCCAGAGCAAGCCTTCTGAAATGAAGACAGGCTTACACTGGTAGATGGGTCTGTCTTAATGTGCGTGATTGGCCATCCCTGGGTCTCAGGCGAACCCTCGGACTTTGTCTACCCCCTCGGCCCTCATCCCTGGTTGATAGAGCGACTGAGCTAAGGATGAGGAAAAGGCAGAAAGCCAAGGTCATCTTCTTAGGGCCTCCTTGACCTGCCATGGCCAGGTCATCTTCAAAGAATCATGGTTCCCTGGTGATGGAGGCCCAAAGGTCAGGGCTTCTCTTTCCACTTCAATCGTGCTAAAAATCACACCTGTAGTGTTTTCACAGCTTTGCAAACAGAGACACAGAGAATGGTTTGACTACTGATGAGGCCAAGGAGGAGAGAAGTGGCCTTGAATAGCAGGCATCACACAGGCCTGATTCTGCATCAGGCCTCCAAGATGGCCGTCCTGAAACCTTCTTTGGAAAGCCAGGCACACCAAGGGGGCTAGGCCCAGAGATGCTGAAGGCTTGTGAGTTGTAGCAGGCACAAGGAGAGATGCTATTTACAAGAAGCATCTTATTGGGTGACAACACAGAGCTGGGAAAGGCCCGAAGCAGGCTTAGAAGACTATTCTGGAAGTGGCGGTGGGTGGGAGGCATGCAGTTTTCTCAATGCTGCTCTGCAAATTCTAAGCCGAAGCAACATGGCAGAAGAGGCCTGGGGCCCCACATCAGCCCACTGCCGTTGCCACTGGACTTCCAAAAGAGCCAACCAAGATGCTCACAACAATGGAGGTGATAGAACATAGTTTAAAATGTCATTTTAAAAAAAACCGCATCCAACAGTATTACTAAAAAACAACGCTGGCCTTGTTATTAGACTGTAAGCTCCTTGGATGCAGGCACTGGTTTTTTGCCTTTCTTTGTAACTGTCTCCCTCCCACCCCCACCCAGGGCACTGAACAGAGTACCTGGCACACAGTAGGTGCTTAATAAATGCTTGCCGATTTGACTTGACTGCCCAAGGTAAAATTCTCACTGTATATTTGGTGCATTCAACAGATAAACGTTATTCCTTCTTTCCCACCCACCACAATAATGCTGGTTAATTGTCTTTTAAAAACAAAATTGCCCTCACCCAAAGACCTAATATTAATGAGTTTTAATTTAAAAACAAACAAAAAGAAACAATACAGTCCCAATCTCCCAAGCTACCACGATGGAGTAATTCCAAAAGATGGATTCAAAAATCCACAGGAGTGGGTTTTGGAGGTGCACACACACAGAAGACAAAGATGCACACAGACACACACACACACACACACACACACACACACACAGAGCTGTGCAACATTTGCATGATGGTGTTTTAAACACCCACATCTCGGCCAATGAAATGAGTCTCAAATCCATCCACCCATCCCCCTCCACCTGGGCTAGAAAAGAATGAACCTGGAGAAATCCACCAACATTCATGTGTGGAGTAAAACGTCACGCAAGGAGCGTCTGGCCTTCACCATCATTGCTGCCACAGCCTGGGGGTCGCTCGGAAAGGCAGAGGCTGCCCGGCACGTGGCGGTGTCATCTGTCAGATATGCTCTGGGTGGCTCTGGAGGCAGGAAAGCATCTCCTGGACTGGTCGACCTTCGTAGCAGATCTGATAGACGGCTGTAAACAAGGGAAACCTGGAGGGAGAGGAGAGGGGGACATGGTAAGACGGGCCATCCGGGCTAACGCTTGCATGGCACCTAGCAAAGGCACTCCGCCTCCTGAGCCTTCCTTTACACCTGTTCGTTCCCATCTGAACCAAGAGTTCTCATGGCACCAGTCGCTCCAAAGCATGCATCACCACTCCCATGTGACAGGCATGGACCGTGGGGCTGGGCAGAGGAAGGCTCCGCCCTCCAGCTGGCATCTCGGTTAAGCCAGTGGTTCCGAGTTCAGGTGCTTTCCACCATCTTCACTTACATCATTAGCCCTAATGAAGGGTGGTCTCTTCCTACATAATCTCAAGATGGAAGTCATAGGTGATATTGAAAACGGGTCACTGATCAATCCCACAACATTAAGTGCCTACTATGAGCTAGGCAGAACGCTAAGGCGTAGTACCTTACAAAGGCAAGGCTGAGACTAGACAGGAGGATGGGGACTGGCGTGTGACCGAGCTCTCACCAAAGAGCCAGAAAACGATCCAAGGTCGTGGGAGGGCACTAACAGCTGGGGAAGGGGGGAGGGAAGGGAACCGTTTCGTGATGTCATACAACCCGGGGACGTCCCCCAGCCTATCACCTTCGTGCTCAGTTCACTGTTGTTAAGAGCAATGGCATAAAAGTCTTAGCCTGGGATGTGTAACTTGGTTTCTTAAAATTCTGATAACTGTAATTCAATTTAGTTGTTTTTCTTTGCAACCTTAGGTATTTTATTTGATACCTGTGCAGACTGCTCTGAGAAGGGGCCCCTAGGCGTCCTTGGTCCCCAGTACAAAAAGGACCCTTGGGTCTGAAGTTTGGTTCCCAATCCTGGCCTTCCTCCTGCTCTCGACCTTGATGAGAAGAGGGCTCGAGTCACCTCTGTGACACACTGGATTGTTGTGGATAATACGGAAAAGAAGGGAATCTGCAAATTCACTTTGCCATCCTAGCTGCACGTTACTGAAAGATGTCGGGAGCCTTGCTTCTTAAAGAGAGCGCCATGGTGCAGCACAGCCCTCCTGGACTCATGAAATTACTGGTCAGAAGACAAGGCGGTGACACCCATTGCTCACAGAAGATCTAAACAGCCTGCCGATGGATGTCATGGAGCATGACTGTGCTCTGAGAAACAACGAGTGGGATGGATGTGGAGAAGCAAAAGGAAACCCACAAGGATGGATGCAAAGTGAAGATGGAAGAGCCAGGAGAAACATCACTGACAATGATGCTGATGGAGACGACAAAGACTGAACACACGCACACACACACACACGCGCACGCACACACACACACACACGTGCACGCACACACACACATGCGCGCACACACACGCACACGCGCGCGCGCGCACACACACACACACACACACACACACACACACACACACTGTCTCCCTGGCTGGACTGGAAGCTCCTTGGGGACAGGGGCTCTGTTTTTGCCTTCCTCCCTATCCCTGGCACTGAGCACAGGGCCCAGTACGTAGCAATCGCTCAATAAATGCTCACTGCTTACACGCTTACATGAAAACGTGACTTGGGTGCTGAGAGCTCCTGATGCCCAAACGTGGCCTCAAAGAAGAGAGGTGAGAAGACGCCTCCCCCAATTCTCTGCCGAGTTCCGGGGGAACTCATAAAACAGCCTTTTTTTGATATTATGGCTAGTTTTGTCAAAACTTTTTTCCTTCTAAAAAATGATTTATCATAAGGGCCCCCTGGAGAGGCATAGGGGAAGGGACAGCTTGAAACGTGAGGCAGTTTTTGAAAGGATCGATGACATCTATTTTAATTTCTTAAAAGAAGAGTCAGTCGGTAAGAGCACAAAGCACTCACTCCTTCTGGGACGCTCTCGTACAGGGTGAGGGAGAAGCCAAGGCAAAGGCCACTTCTCACAGGAATAAAGGAGTGAGAAGGACGTGAAGTGATCACTAGCCGCAGCCTCTGCTCTCCAGGACATCCCTGCCTGGGAGCAAGAGGAAGAAGAAAGACCTCGGTTCAAGTCATGCCAGCGCCCCCAGGCAAGAGCAGAGGCAGATCTGCATTGGGCAAGGGAGCTTCCTCATACCCATAAATCACAGACAAAGTAGTAAGGTCCACAAAGACTTGCAGGAGAGCAGGAGCGCCATGGCCGGGGTGGGGGGAGAGAAGGCTCAAGCCCCTTCCTCTCCACCTCTCGGCCCACCCCCATCAGTGGTAGAGGCTTCTCCTGGGCCTCCAGGGTTCCACCTTCTCCCTTCCGCTAACCGCCCTCCACACTGCTGCCCACGCTGGCCTCTTAAGGCACGTGCCTGGCGCCAGGCTCAAACACGTTCGTGTTTCCGTGCTGATTCTTGGATAAAATCCACGATTCTCAGTCTGGCATTTGGGCAAAGGTCCCCACAATCTGTTCCCAAACTAGTGAGGGCATGAACAGAGGCACGGCCCACTCGTTCTCAAGGCCAAGTGCTATGTTCAGGTAAACAGCGTGCGCTCTGGAGGAATTTAGCAGAGCGCAGATTCCCTGAATGTAGGGATTGCTTCTTTTTGGTCTTTGTGTCTCATCCCCAGAGCCTATCACAGCACCTGACAAACAGCAGGTGCTCAACACACGCTCGATGACTGACATACAAAGCACCGAGTAACATCCTTGCGCTGGCGACCCAGAGGGGGGAGACGCAATGCAGCCAATGGAATTACAGCCCGGTTGGACATCAAGGCGCCATGTGACGAAGTGGTGAATGGGGATAAAGACCATGGCCTCAGCTTCCCGCGCTTCCCCCGGAACCAGGAGTGCCAGAGCTGGGCCCGCGCCCACTGCCCTGCACCTCCTGAGAAGCAGCCACTTACTTCTCCAGGATGCCCTTCTGCTTGATGATACGATGCACCTCTGCGGCGGTCGGGGGGCCCTGGAGCTTCTGGCCATTTAGCATATCTCTCTCCAACTCCTCTATGCTCTGAAAAACCAAAAACCCAAGCCGTCACCGTGACGAACGCGGCAGAGAGGCCCCCGGCCAGGGCAGCACACTGCCCCTGGCCCGTTCTCCCACTGCCTTTGCCCAGGCTGGCTCGGGGAGCCAAGGTCAACTCTCCCCACCCCCCGGGGCAACGGCTCCTCTGGGGCTCCTGGACATCGGCCAAGGGAGGGGCGGGCCGACTACCTTTCCCGTCTTGACGAACGCTTCAGCGACTCTCCGGTTCCGGCCCGCGTAGCACGTGGTGATCAGGTCGGCCACGCCGCAGCTCTCCAGGAAGGTGGCGGTGGACACCTGCCCCTTGCAGAAGATCCTGGCGAAGGCGATCATCTCCATGAGCCCCAGGCGGATGACGGCGGCCTTGGTGTTATCTCCGCAGCAGAGCCCATCGCAGAAGCCGGCTCCCACCGCCACGATGTTCTGGGGAGGAAGGAGAAGACGCGGCGTTAGAGGGGCTGTGAACGATCACAAAGACCCAGCACCGGAAGGTCTCGGAGCCCTCACCGCACCGCACATGCTGCTGAGCCCCGTCACCACCCGGTCCTGTCCAGCCAGACTGGCCTCCCTTCTGGGCCTCACACAAGACATTTTATCTCTCACCTCCCTGATGTGGGAGCTTGGGCGGGGTGTGGTGGGCATAGTACTGGAATCAATCTCAGGAAGACCTGAGTTCAAATCTAGCCTTAGACTCTCAAACTTGCCCAATCCTAGGCAAATGACTTAACCTCAGTTACAATGCGGAGGAGAGAAGGTGGAAGCGAGATTGAAAAAAATATTCAAAACCAAGACTGCTCAAACACTCTCTCCTGCAGGAGGCTGTTAGCCAGTCAACACGCATGAATGAGTTACTAATGCTCACTCGGTGCCAGGCACTGGGCTGAGCGCTGGGGATGGCCCCTTCAGGCCTGGGACGCCTTTGTTCTTTACATATCCTCACTGAGGGGAGCACAGGTCAGGGGGCGTGAGGACAGCACATCCCACAGGGAGGGAGACCCCAGGACGCTGGGACGGCGGCACTAGTGACGGCGCGGACGCAGAGGCTGAGGAGAGCTGGGATCTGCCTGGACGGGGACAACAGAGGCCCCTGGGCTCAGCCCATCTTAGGGCAGTTTTTATGAATAGTTTTATAACTTCATTTCAAGAGATTTCCTTTGTAATCTCACGTATTTTATACATTTAAAAACACGACTTGGAAGTGGGCGTCAGCTCCTGAGAGCTAGGCACTAACTTAGCTTCCAAGCTCCATTCCACGGCGTCAAAGCTGGTGATGGACAAGGCCAACCCAGCCACTCGTCCCTTCCCCCCAGACCAGGAATTCCCAAGGGGCCCATGAATTCTGCCTGTGGGTCACGCCTTCCACACCCACCGGTGCGGTCACTGTGCAGTTGGAGGCTCTTCGGGATTCCTACTGATTTGGACAAAAAAGGATCTAACCCTCCCCCCACACAGAGCTCTCTCCCAAGTGAGGACTGGCTGGCCTTTCTGCACTTTGCCTGGGGGTGGGTGTGGAGAGAAGTGGAAGGAACTTGTCTGGAGAGGGAGTGATGGTGCTGGCTTCCAATGGGACCCGGTCACTTAGCACCCCCACAACCATCAATCGATGAACAAGCATGCGTGTGAGGGGCTCTGGAGGAAGAATGAAAGAGGTCTGACCTCAAGGAGCCCCCCACTTCTACTGGGGGGCCATGCGTGTGCACGTGCATATATATGTGTACACACACGTACGTACATGCCCGCAGACAGGTATGCACGCACGCGCACACTCCAAGCACATGCATGGTACACACGTGCACACATACACACACACACGCCTGTCTGATATAATGCACTATCAGTAATGTACTAGGCAATACATGAAATCCCTCACACCAAAGCCACACTGTCCATGCACAGACAAGATGAATGTAAAGACTCAGCATGAACAGAATGCCCAGGAGGCGGTCTAGGGGGAGATCCGGGAGGGCTTCCAGCCCCGGGTGGTACAGGGAGCTGTGTCTACAAGAGGGTGGCAGTGAGGCCCGGGGCAAAGGCAGCTGTGCACAGACACAGCCGTGGGGTGCCCTGGGTCAGGAAAGGGAGAGAAGGGGTGTTTGGCCGGACTGCAGAGTCAGGAAGGGGAAGAAGGCGGACCGAGGCTGGAAAGGCCCTGGCTGGGAAGAGCTTTCAACGCTAAACAGGGTTCGTGCTTCACCCTAGGGTAAAGGGGGCTAAGTGAAATCCTCGGGGCCTCAGCGCCCTCCCGGCTCAAAAATCTATGACTGGATCATCCCATAGACCATGCCGCCAGAAATATGAGGACCGTCCCAAAGAGTCTCAGGCACAAAGGGCCCACATAACAGTGTTCTGTGATGGCCAAAGTGGGTGCCCAGAAAACTCTCATGTGAATGTAAGGAAATATAATGCCAGACGTAGCTGGTGGCACAGCGGATAGAGCACTGAGCTTGCCATCAGGAAGACCCGAGTTCAAATTCAGCCTCAGACACTAATTGTGTGATCCTGGGCAAATCACTTAACCTCTGCCCTCAGTTTCCTTAACTGTCAAATGGTAATAATAATAGCATGTACCTCCGCGGATTGTTGTGAGCATCAAATGAAATAATATTTGTTAAAAGCACTCAGCACAGCGCCTAGTCCTAGCACACAGCAGGCGCTATAAACATGCTCGTTCCTTCCCTTCCTTGCCTGCTGTAAGAAAAGACATGAACAGAAGCTTGTTGCGGGTTTCTGCCCTTGTTCTCCCAGTGCTGGGCACAGCTGGCACTTAATCTTTCTTAATGGATTAGGAGGAATTCAGAGAACACGGCAAGGCTGCTATGACTCGATACGGAGCAAGGTGGTTCCGAGGGTGATCCGAAGAAGCTGCCGGATGTGACTACCAGAGTGACACAAATGGAAACCCCGCGGAGGGGCAGGAGCCCTCGCCCCCCTGCAATGACCACTCGTGGGCCAAGGGGGTGGGTGGGGCCGCACGTGCCCGTCCGCTCTGTTTGACTTTGTCCTCCTGGTTACAGGGGGACAGTGCAGACAGTCACAACGCCTCGATGGCTGAATGGGTGACAGCGTGGCCTGGGGGCCTTGGAAGCCACCCACCAGTCCCCCCCCCTGCACAGCCAAGGAAGTTGAGGTCAAGTGACTTGCCCAGGGTCACAAAGTATTAAGTGTCAGGGCCAGGATTTACACCCAGGTTTTCTGCCTCCAGAGCCAGGGCCTTTTCTGCTGCCTGTGTCCGTCCCCCCCCCTCACTTTAGAGGGCGCACCCCCCTTTCAGATAGAGTACCATTATCTGTGATCAGTCCCTAACATGCCTATTCCTTCTATCAGAGGCATCTGGCCAAGGATAAACAAACCCACAGGCCGAGATCTGGGGAGTGTTGGGCGACTGGCCTCGCAGGTGCCCCGGTGTCCGCTCAGCCGTGACAGTTACTGGGACACAGGTGGCAGCTTAAGTCTGTGGACTTTTCTGAGCTAAAATTATCACTCTTCCAGCAGGCCTCCCTGTCTGCTCTGTTTGCAAGCCACAAGGCTAACCAGCCTCATTCGAAGGTGGAATGGCAAAGTCTCTCTTCCAAACCCAAAGGGGAAAAAAAGAAAGAGGCCGGGCTTCCGGACAAACCCTCTGCCTGCCATGCCATGAGAACATAAGGACACAAACAGATCTTAAGGTATCGTATGCTCCCGAGGCCTTACCAGCCAACCCAATATGGTAGCACCCTCCCTACAACTCTGGTCCCGAGGGGAAGATGTTCTTGGTTCAGTAACACCCAAAGCGGCCAATGAGAGCTTCCCTCTTTCATAAAATACACGTGAGGCAGTGGAGGGGAAACAGGGGAAGGTGAGAGGGAATGAGGGAATCTTATTCTCATAGGATTTGGCTTAAGGAGGGAATAACACAGACATTCAATTGGGTAAGGAAATCTGTCTTACCCTATGAGAAAATAGGGGGAGAAGGGGACAAGAGAGCAGGGGGGTGATAGAGAGGAGGGCAGATTGGGAAAGGGGGTAATCAGAAGTAAATACTTCTGAGGAGGGACAGGGTCAAAAGAAAGAATAGAATAGATGGGAGGGCAGGATAGGATTAAGGGAAATAGAGTTAGTTTTTCACAACATGTCTACTAAGGAAATGTTTTGCATAACTGCACATGTACAACCTATATTGAGTTACTTGCCTTTTCAAGGAGGGTGGGTGGGGAGGGAGGAAGGAAGAAAATTTGGAACTCAAAGTTTTAAAAGCACATGTTTTAAATAAAATGTTTTCACATGCAACTGGGAAATAAGAAATACAGGAAATGGGGGTACAGAAGTCTATCCTGCTCTACAGGAAAATAAAAGGGGAAGGGGATAAGAGAAGGGAGGGGGGAGAGATAGAAGAGAAGGCAGACCAGGGGAAAGGGTATTCAGAATGCATGCCATCTTGGGGTGGGGGGAAGGGTGAGAAATTTGGAACGCAAAAACTTGTAGAAGTGAATATTGAAAACTAAAAATAAATAAATTTATATTAGTAAAACAAAAAATAAAATAAAATAAAATAAAATACATGTGAGGAACAGCTGGAGGAACAGGGTGGGCAGAATGCAGAAAGAACTCTGGACCAAAAGGGAAGAAGATGGCACGGAATGAAAGCCTGGACCCAGCTCTGGAGGACCCTGAAGGAGCCATTAGTTTCCATAGCTGAAGAGTTCAGACTATTTACTGGGAATGTCCCTCTCAGCTCTGACCCTGGTTCTCAAGGTCTGGTCTGGAGCTAACATCCATGGCCCTATAGGCTTGGCATGGCTCTAACATCTTTTGTTCTAAAAGTTTCCCTTGACTCTGAGCTCTGACCTTGATGTTCCAAAGGTCCCTCTCACTGTGGTTTCTCCGTTACCCAGAACACAAGCCTGCAGGAATCACTGTTACCCAGTGAGTTTCCCAGGCCCATTCTGGGGGGGCCCATAAAGGCTTCTCACCGACTTTCTTCCTTCCAGAAACTCCCTCTGCATAATGGTAGTCAGCATACACCCACTTCCAGGCTCTTTGCCAGCAAACATTTCTTGTCTATTTCAAGTCCGAACATGGGCTGTCCCTGTGATAGCTGACAGCTGGAGATCGCAGGAGCCCCCTCAGACCCAGCCAGGATTTCACCAGGCTCCAGCTACACACAGCACTCATCGTCAGCCTTGGGGTTTCCAGGCCAGCCACTGGGCAATTAGGCGCTTTCCAATGTCAACGGTGCCCCGCTGTTAAGCGGTCATTACCTTAATGAAGCACCATTAAACAGACATTTAGAAAAGGGCCCAACAAAAGTCCAGTCGCCTGAGCTAGTGTTTAAATGGCGGCGCTGCCGACGTGGCAGGGCACGCATCCCCCTACACAAGCAGAGAGACAGGGAGAGAGGCTGGCCAGGGGCCAAGACCTGCCTTAGCTTCAATTCAACGCTTTTCAATTTGCACAGGGGAGGGGTCTGAACACCTATGCTGGTTGTGCCAGGAACTGGTTTTTCTATTCCTCCTGCCCTGAGCCCCCATTCTTCCTCCCCACCCCACCAAAAAAAGAAAAAAAAACAGAAACCAGCCAGGAAGTAGAGTTCTCATTTCTTGGAAGATCAAGGGTAGGACTTTTGGGAATGATGGTAAAGCAGGTACAGAATGAGGCATAGGCTGATCACTGTCCCCCGTAGCCAATGTATTTGTTTTACTTAATTCTACTTTGTTAGAAGACAGAATTCTATTTAGGGAAGTGATAATAATGCAAAAAAAAAAAAAGAATGAAAACCATTACCAACAGGCAAGAGGCAGGTTTCATTTTCTGTCCTGTTACACCCTGAGGGCCTGGAGTATCACCCACTTATTTTTAAGAACCCCAGTCTGACCTACAAAACGATTGTCGGGCTGCATCTGCAATGTCTTCATGCCTCCCTGCGTCCAGGAATCAGCTTTACCTTGAGCGCTCCGCATAGCTCTACTGTGTCTGCGTCGTCCACGACGGTGATTCGGAAATTCGGGGTCTGGAGGAGTTCCTTGAAGAGAAGCCCGTTCTCCAGAACCTTGCTGCCTGTTATCGAGGGGCAGAGGGAAAAAAGACATTAACAACCAAGACTTATCTTTTCTGTTTGTTTGTTTTTGTTAAGAATAAAATTTCCCCATGATCTCTGTTTGAAGGAAAAAACACAAAACTCTTGTAACAAATAACATAGAGTTTTAGAAATCTTTAAAGCATATTGACATTCATGTACAAGTTCTAGATTTAAAATGTTGGGGGGGGGTTCCCCACCATCCTGTTGCTGAATGTTTCCTGCTGAACAGTTCAAACAGTCTGTACAGTCCCCATGGATGGCAAGTCTCTGCTTCTGAAGCCAATGACAAATAATGCCAAGTAGAGGGTTACTGAGGTGCCTTAAGGAGTTAAAAAATGTTACTGAGTTAGAAATGGCAGAGGAGAGAAGGGAAGGCCAGAGCAAAGCCTGGATGGCCAGGGTGTGTGTGTGAAAACCCCTGCAGAGCCCTGCAATATGGAACACGGGACAACGGGAAGGAATGAGGGGAGGCTTTCTGAGAGGTGCCACTGCACTGCTGGGTTCTGAGGAGGGAAGGACGAAGAATAGGCCCGAGGGAGGCAAAGGCTCTCTCCTCTTTTCAGCCCCCAAGCTATAATCAAATCAACACTGTCTTGTATTGCCAAGGGGGTGACATCTGCGGTGACTTTCCAAGCCCAAATGCCTCCTCCGCTTAGGGGTGGTCACCCCCATCAGAACATAAGATCCCCAGGGCTTGGCACATTGCAGGGAATGCTCCTTCATTCATTTCAGCTGCTTAATCACGGACGCAGCTTAACTGCTAAGTCTCGATGTTCTGGTCTGTGAAATGGAATATTATACCTGCCCTATTTACCTCCCAGGGCTGCTGGGACAGTGAAATGAGACGCTCTTTCTCAAGCAGCTGGGAGACCTTAAACTGCTACCCGAATACAAACTACCACCCTCATCATCACTTAGGAGGCGGGCACAGAGCTGTCCACGAGAGCCCTCCTCCACTGAGGTGTGACTGTCTCACTGAGGTGGCCGAGGGTTCTCCAAAGAGAGGTCAGGGGAGCAGGTAGGTCCTACTGACCAGGGGGGCCTCAAGCATGGACTGAGCTCGGTGTGATGATACCAACGTTTGCATTAATTAAGCACCTACTATGTGTCAGACACAGGAGACTGCAATACAAAAACCCCCGAGATAGCTTACATTCTATTGGGTGTAAAAACATTTACAGAGAAAAGGAATACTAGCCATGTCTAGAGAAATGGCATTTGCACCTCGGGTTAGGGGGGAGTGAAGGGAGAAAACTCAAACATGAGCTGAGATTTGAAGGGATTTTATGATAATGAGAGCTCATACATGTATCAAGCACTTTATACATGTCATCTCATGGGATCCTCACAACAACCCTGGCAGGGAGATGCTTCGAATTTTAGAAATGGGGAAACTGAGGCAGGCAGTTCCGAGCTTTGCCCGCACCCCACAGCCAGTAAGTGTCTGAGGTTGGGCTGCATTCTGGGGAAAGGTGGGGGGTGCCTGAGCCACCCGCCCTCCCCATTCTTCTCACGGCCCCCCTTTCTTCCTTCAACACGCACTAGATGTGGCACACCAGGCTTTTCCTGATGTCCTCAGTCACCGGTGCCCTCTCTCTCCCTACAGGTTTGCTCTCTGCCTTTCTCTGTACTCCTCCTCTTCATCTTCACTCCAGAGAAGCTATGAGCAGATGTGCTGGTCCCACTCCGGGTTGGGGGAGACCCCCACCACGTCTGGCCCCACAGAGTAACGGATCTGACCTCAGCCAAGCCAGTGGACCTCGGAGCCTCGGTCTCCTCAGAGGTAGAAGAGGATTCTCTGCATGTTCTACTGCCTGGGGGTCTTCCCGAGAAGGGGCTTTGTGACTCAGACTTTCAACAGTGCGGGCCAAGAAAACCAAACCATCCCCTGGGAAACAACCGTTCCTCAGCAGGGCTCTTCTTTCACGTTTATTCCCTCTCACTGAACACCAAGTCCTGCCAGAGTCTCTGTTCTCTAAACCCGAGGACGCGTCCACAAGGACGAGTGAGGGGTTCGCAGCCATGGCGCTGCTCTGCTCACGAAGCTTCCCAGCCTCCTCGGCTGCAGAAGGAGATACAAACTCCTCTTTGGCATCTAGAATCTGCCCCAACCCGCCTCTGGCCTCCCTTGCAGACTTGTTCCCACAGCTCCCCAGTACCCACTCTCCCTCCTGGCCCAAAAGCCCAATCCCTCCCCAGGAGATGCCTTCGTCCTGGGGGTCCTGGCCTGAAGCGTCCTCCCCCTAGCATCTGCCTCAGAGAACCCGGAGCTTCTGTAAAGGCGGGGCTCCAGCACCTTCTCAACCAGGTTGATCATCGTCTCCCCTAGATCCCAGAGGCTGTTCAGTCACTGTAGTTGCATCTGACTCTGTGTGACCCCATTTGGGGTTTTTCTTGGCAGAGAAACCAGAATGGTTCACCATTTCCTTATTCAGTTGATTTTACAGATGAGGAAACTGAGGCAAACAGGGTTCAGTGATTTGTCCAGGGTCACCCAGCTAGGAGGTGTCTGAGGCCAGATCTGAGCTCAGGAAGCTGAGTCTCCCTGATTCCCGGCTCCATGCTCTACCTACTGACCCACCTGGCTTCTAGTTACTAGCGTTTCCCTTCAAAATTACCTTGTAGTAACCATGTGTCGTCATATTGTTATTTTCACTGATCTGCGTCCGTGTTTCCCTCCACAGAATGTACGCTCCATGAGGGGAGGGACTGCTTCCTTTGGGGCTTTGTATTTCAGTGCCTGGTATACTGCCTGGCATGCAGTAGGTGCTCAATAAATGCTTATCGAATGAACAGAGAGGGAGGGCAGTAAGAAGGCACCCGCCTTGGCCGGCTCAGGAGGTCCCCCTCCCACTTGGGGCTGTCTCTGGCCTATCGTTGTCCCCCCGCCCCAGTCACCTCCTTTCCCCGGACTCCCCTTATACCCCTGCCCACAGAACAACTGGAATTCCAGGGCCGGTCTGTGCCTTGCTAGTTGGCAGCTGACCCATGCCACAGGAAGGGGTCTCTGGACCACCCCCCATAACAAATGTCGGTGACAACAGCATTCTAGGGTCCAGACCCTGCCTCAAGTACCAGGAGGGCAACATTTTATTATGCAAAACTAATGGTGGGAGGGAGGGAGGGAGAGGGCCCAGACCCAGAATCCCAAGGTCAGGCAGCAGAGGAAAGACCCACAGATGGCAGCAAGCATCAGAGCCTCCTCCAGGGCAGGCCAGCCTGGGGACCTGCGGAAAGCAGGAGGAGTAAGGGCTGAAGGGGACTGGGGGAGGGAGGAGGAAAAGCATCGGCTCAGAGCAGACTGAGATCAAAGCCAGGCGCCCCAGGCCACGAATAATCACCCTGCCGGACAGGTTACCCCAGTTTTCTAGGCCAGCGAAGACTGCACAGTCTGGCAGGGCCACTGGTTGTCTTCACCTTGACTGCTCCCAGAGTTGGACCCGGGCCCATCGGCTAGCCTGGGTTCATCATCCAGGCAATGCAATGGGTTTGCATAATGGGAGGCATCCTGGGAGGCGGTGCCCAGGCATGGGCTACCTTCAGGGTTAGTGTTGTTATGAGGTCGGTATTTCTTAAAAGCCTTTGGGACCTTTGGTAGGTTGGGCTGGTGCAAATGGGCTCTGGCCTTGGATTTGGGAGCCCTCTCCATCCATCCATCTCTGCCCCACACTAAGCAAGGGCCAGATCTGGAGGGGGGAAAATCTGAGTTCCAATCCTCCCTCTGACACATACTGGCTGTGTGACCCTGGTCAAATCATTTACCCCCTAGGGGGCTAAAATGCAGAGCAAGAAAGGGGCTGGCCTGATGTAGGAAGGCTACAGGAGGAGCTCCCTGTGCCAGTGAAATCCCAGGTCCAATATACTTAGGCCATCAAAATAAAATCAGTTACAACTCATGTTGATTGAAAACAGTAACCTCCCTGTTCTAAGCTTCCCTCTGGCCTGACTCCTCAAAGCAAACAGCCCCTGCCTGTCACAATCTCAAGCTCCCACCCCCAGGCTGGTCAGGACCAGGCTGATGACAAGGCTTTATTCTCCTCCAACACTCAAGGCCACGGGCTCCAGGCCCAGCAGGCCCCTCCAGGTGGCCGGGCCTGAGGCCCTCTCCTCTCAGCAGACCCTGCCCTTCCCCTCCAAAGGCTCCTGCTCTAAGGACGTGGTGCTGGGGCAGGAAGAATGAGACTTTGAGGCCCTTTGAAAACGCCAAGTTTCACAATCCAGGCAGGTCCAGGCAGGGTCACAGGTTATAGATTAGAGCTGGAAGGGACCTTAGGATCCAGCCCCTTCATTTTGCAGAGGAGGAAACTGAGGCCCAGGCAGGAGAGTGACGTGTCTGGGGTCACAAGGCCAGCACCCAAGGCTGAGCCCTCCTGACTCCAACTTCCGGCCAAAGGGGCTCCCGGGCCTGATCATGTTACGTACAGATTAACGCGCGTGCTCCCCCGGCTGCTTTTCAATGGGTGTGCTGGCCTGATTCCATAACTGAGGCACAGATGAGCCTCGCAGGCAGAGGCCCCAGAATCACAACAGAATAAGTGACAATGATGGCCAAACCGCGGCGAGGCTGGCGGAGGCGCCTGCACCAACACTGACTCTCTCGATCCCCCCAAGAACCCAGAGACTTTCCTTCAGCACCAGAACCCTGGCAGAATGTCCTGGGCCCCGGGGAACGGAACACCAAAGCTCCCGCTGTAGACTGGACAAGATGCAGAGCTACGCCATGCCAATTAGAGGAAGCCAGAGCCCGCTGGGGTCTGAAGGAAAGGTGTCACTAACTGCAAAGGCACACGCTACACACATATGGCCCCGTTTTACAGATGAGGAAACTGAGGCTCGGATCATTTGCCATACATTGGGGAGAGCCCTGGGGCAGAGCTGCCCTCCAAGGTCCAATAACAAAGCCCCTCCTGAGCCCCATCACCTCACATCCCTCCAGGGAGATCACACCTAGAGGTCACCAAGGCCAAACTCCCCATTTCACAGAGCCCCAGAGGAGCTGGCTGACTTGCCCGTGACCACAAAGGCAGTAAGTGACTGAGGCAGGATTTGAACCCATGGCCTCTGACCCCAGTACTGTATACCGTACTACACTGCACCCCCAGGGCTGCTTCCGGTGAATGCGGTGTGGGCAGTGTGGCTCTACAGGGTCCTCTGAAGGCCCAGTTAACAACCTCCCCCCGAAATCACTTTGAGTGTATTCTGAATCGAAGCTCCTCAAGGGCAGGGCCTCTTCTGTTTTGTCTCTGAATGTATTTCCGCCCCATCCACCCAAACTAGCATAGCGCCTGGTAGTCAGCGGGTACTTCATAAGTGCTAGTTGAACTGAATTGCCCAAGGTCACTGAACTAGTAAGTGGCAAGATCTGAACCCAAGACTTTCCTCAGTATCAAGGAATTCCAAGCTAAAGATCATTGCTGCTCCGGCCTTACCGATTGTGGTCTCACAAAACTTCTCAGCAGCCACCTCATTCGCGATGTTGGCGCCCATCAGCACGCTGATATCGATGCCCATCTTCTCTCGGATGATGTCGGAAATAAGTCTGAGCCCTTCGGGACCCTCGTCAATTCCCTGGAAAGAGGACACAAACGGGTCATGGAGGAAACAGACAAATCCACGCCGGAAGGCCACCTGACAACTCGCTGGCTATTAAGCTCTGCCTCTCCTCTCCGAGATAATAGAAAAGGGTGAAAAGGAAAAAACAGGTGCGAACGTGGGCATGAAGGCGGCTGTGGAAATGCGGCACTGATGCCAGCCTTGATGATGCCTGCCCACAGCTTCTGGTATTTTCTCCCTGGGAACATTTACTCATTTTCATCAAAAGCCAATGATTCACTTTCTTTCCAAGATCTACCGACGCTCAGGCTCTTATCTGCACAAAAATGTTTATGGCGGCTCTGTTCCTAACATGGGAAACAACCTAATGGCCGGCACTCGGGACGAGCAGAACAAAGCGTGCTCTGAGACCAGAGGGGGGGCTACTGCCCCCTCAGAAACAGCAGAGAGATAAAGGGAGACACATGAGAAGCAAGCAACAAAGAAAATGTTGACCACAGCAACGTCAAGGAGGGCAGCCGAGAATTATGGGAGCAAAAATGACCTCTGTCCACCTCGTTAGACGGAAAACAAACACACACACACACACACACACACATACACATTTGTATTTAGTTAAGCTTTCTGAGAGAAGGGGTGGTTTTAATCTTTCTAGTTGTAAGCCCAGGCCCTAGCAGAGTTCCGGTACATAGTAGGTGATTAATAAATGCCTAATTTGTGCCTGGCTGTCTTTTCACTGACTCAATTTTCTCGTTTGTAAACCGAAAGGGTTGCACTAAGTCCCTTCCAGCTCAAGATCAATGATCCCAGGATCCACAATTTGACTGTCACACTCATACATTGTTGGAGGAATTGCAAATTTGGTCCAACCATTCAGGAAAGCAGGATTATGCCAAGAAAGGGAAGGTACAAACCCTTGGACCTGGCACATAACCCAGGGAGGTCAAAGACATAAACAAAGCCCCATACAGACATTAATATTTATAGCAGCACCTTTTGTAAGAAAATAAGAGTTTTCAGATAGAGGCCTCTAATTAATAGAAAAGGCCCTAAACTGTGAACTCAGCCCCAACATTCCAATGACGTCCCTAGCAGCCACCAGCTCACCGTTTAGGCCTCTCCCATTCATTGTCTCAGCATCCCTCCCTCCACAGAAGCTCGCCCCCAAAGCTGCCTCTTCATGGTGAGGAGACCCTGGCTTCTTACCCCCTGGGGGACCAGGAGCTAACTGGCAGGTCTGACTGAGCTGGAAAGGATTCTGGGTCAAGTTGGGGCGTGTCTCAGGAGTCGCTCTGCTCAGGCAGGCTTATTCCCAGGAGGCTGGCAACCAGGGATGACTTATCACCCCCAAAATGGCCCTTGGTCACCCAGTGGAGAAGCATGTTAAGTGTTCTATGTACCAGGCATCTGGGGATACAAAGAGAGCAAACACACTGCACCTGGCCTTGAGGGGCCACATTCTTTATATTTTTTTTCTTTTTTTTTGGGGGGGGCAATTGGGGTTAAGTGACTTACCCAGGGTCACACAGCTAGTAAGTGTCAAGTGTTTGGTCTGAGACCAGATTTGAACTCAGGTCCTCCTGACTTCAGAGCTGGTGCTCTACCCACTGCGCCACCTAGCTGCCCCGAGGGGCCACATTCTAAGACGCCTTCCCACTGCCAGAGTAGGCCAGCAGAGAGATGGGAAGGGAGGCAGAGATGCCAAGGCTCGGGATTCTGGGGCCGGCCACCAACACTGACCACCACACTTGACCGTGTGAGCTGCTGCCCACCTGGACGCTCAGCACCTCTGCCCGACGACTGAGAGTGGGATGCTTCAGAGAAACGGCAGCCCGGGACAGCATGGGTGGGTGGGGGTCAGGTCAACCAGGGCACAGATTTCTCCAAGTACCCTCAAATGAACATTCAGGAGCACAGACCAGCCTGGAGTGAGTGGAGCTAAGGCACAGAAATTCACACATGAGGGTGGAGAAGAGTCTGCAGATTTAGCCAACCCAGGGTGGCATGGTGGTACCCAGTCATGCCTTCCCAAAAGGTGAGGGCAGGTGGACTGAGGAGATGCTTGGCTACCAAAGGACTGTCTGGGGCGCAGTGGGGGACTCTGCTAGGGAAACTCAGGTCCAGCAGTGCAGACGGGCGCCTTCTCTGCCACCTGGAGACTCAGAGCAGGGGATCTCACACGGTTTGGTCTCAGGATGTCTTCATATTCTTAAAAATGGAGGCCCCCGCTGCTCATGGCACCCTTCCTCAAGAGTTTTCCTTTATGTGAGTTATACCTATTGATATTTACCATGATTAGACACTGAAATGGTTTCGTATTATTACGAAAATAGTTTTGACTCCGTGGATGCCAGGGATCCCTGAGAACCACTGACTTATAGGAGGGGCCGCAATCAATAAACAAGCATTTCATACTGCCTACCACGGCCAGGCACCGTGCGAAGCACTTTACAGAATTAGCTCATCTGATCCTCAGAACCCTGGGAGGTTACTGCTGTTATTATCCCTATTTTACAGCTGAGGAAACTGAGGCAAACAGGGTGATGTGACTTGCCCAGAGTCACACGGCTAGTACGTGTCTGAGACTGCATGTGAACTCGGGACTCCCTGATGCAGGAAGTAAACAGTACTTGCTGACCGTGGCTGGCCCCTGTGCTCTGTGTTGCCTAATCAATGCTCATTAGATCGTGCACTGCTGAGTGGATGTTCTGCAGAGAAATGAGAGAAGCCAAAAGCTCGTGGGCTACTCAGAAGCCTCATTCTTATACATCATACATGCTCTATTCAAAAAACCATGGCACGATTGAGTGCCCAATGACGTTAATGAAGAAAAAATGGACCCTCTCCCGGGAGACAGGGGACAGCTGCCTAGGGTGACATGCACGTTGGTTTTCAAGGCCGATGTGCCACGTTGGATTGGGGCTGATTCCACAGGTGTTCAGACAAGCTCCTGGCCCAAATCGGGGAGGGAGAGTGGACAAAGTGAGGACGCCAGACTGTCCCTGCGAAAGTGGTCACACGAAGGAACCTCAGCTGGCCCACATTCTTTTCCTGCACCGACCCGGTGACCAAAAGTAGCCTAATCTAGAAGCTTTGCAGAATGTTCCAGAAGGTCAGGGCGACTGCTTTACAGACCAGGTTGCCTGGTCAGCGTGCCAGCTCGAGGCACTGATAAATGAAACCACAGAACAAACAGACCCGAGATGGAAAGGTCTGGCTGGCATTTCCTCAAGGACTGGCCTCCACCTCAGTCCCTAACGTACCAATGTCAGGAGGCCGCATGGCACGTGGGAAGAGTGGGGGGGCCGGACCGAGTGCCCAAGAATAAACCCACACCAGGGGAAGGAAGCAGGGTCTGATTGCCAAGACACAGCTAAAATGTGAGGACACTAAAAGAATAAAGAGTCACCGAGGGTGTTTTTAGGCCAAAAAGGCCAGGCTCCAGTCACTACTGACCCAGACCTACTCACTCATCTCTATAACATCTGTAAGGACTGGTCAGCCAGTCAATTAGCATTTGTTAAACACTCCCTAATTACAGCCAGGCACTGAGCTAAGCAGTGAGGATACAAAACTAATCCCGGCCCTCCCTGGAGGGGCTCACATTCTAATGAGGAGGCAGAGGGGAAGGCCTCCTAGCTGGGGAGCATTCTCAGGAAAGGCCTCCCCCTGCAGAAGACTGGGTCTGGGCTGCGGCTTGCAGAAAGCCAGGGCAGCGCAGGGCAGAGAGAAGGAGGGAGAGGTGGAAGGAGAGGAGAAGGGAGTGCGTTCCAAGTCTGGGGACAGAGGGAGAGTCACATGTAAAGAGCAGCCAGTGCACCAGGGTGGTTGGATTCTAGCATGTGTGGAGGACTCGAAGGCCCACGGAAATCTGCAACATGCAGAAGGGGTCAGCTTTAAATGTTAAAGCACAGACTTCAGCCCGGTCCTGGAGGACAGAAACTGGTCTAATGGCCCCACTAGAAAAATAAAGCAGGATTAAAAAGACATGTACCAGGGACAGCTAGGTGGCACAGTGGATAGAGCACTGTCCCTGAAGTCAGGAGGACCTGAGTTCAAATCTGGCCTCAGACCAAACACTTGACACTAGCCGTGTGACCCTGGGCAAGTCACTTAACCCCAACTGCCTTAATAAAAAGAAAAAAAAAGACATGCACCCAGGCCACGACACGAAGGTGGATGGGTAGTCCATCGCGTCAGGCCGGCCATCTATGCCTCTGACCATCTGTCACCACGGATGCCTCGGCTGCTGTCTCAGCCCTCAGAGAAGCATGCTGGCTAGAGCTGGCCTCAGAGTTGGGGAGATCTGGGTTCAAGTCCTGCCCCTGACAGCTTGGGGCTGTATGACCCTAGGTAAGTCATTAACCTCTCTGTGGGCCAGGCAATAGGACAGGTGCTGATCTGCCCCGTGGGAAGAAGTTTCTCACAGGGTACCCTCTACACCAGGGATATCACAGGTCTGATTGAAAAAAAGACTGGCCTCTATGGAGGACGGATGGATAGACCTGGGCAGGGACCAACCCCACAGGATGCAGGCTTGCGATCTGCACTGGTGGAATGTAAGCTGCTTCTCCTTTTTTTTGGGGGGGGCGGCTAGGCAATGGGGTTAAGTGACTTACCCAGGGTCACACAGCTACTTAAGTGTCAAGTATTTGGTTTGAGGCTAGATCTGAACTCAGGTCCTCCTGACTTCAGGGCTGGTGCCCTGTCTACCACGCCACCTAGCTGCCCTAAAGTTTTTGTTGAATAATGAGCCCTTGCTCCAGTATTGGTATATTTGGAGTTATAGAATACTGTGTTTCTATCCTTTATTATTTCTGGGTCATGTATTCTATTTGGGGGGGGCAATTAGGGATAAGTGACTTGACCAGGGTCACACAGCTAGTAAGTGATCTGCACTGGTGGAGGGAGGGACCACATCAGGGAGCCCCCAGGCCCACAAAGGAGCAAAGCACCCCACCTACCTTGATGAGGGTAATCCCCAGAGCTTTCTTGGGAACTTGCCCCGTGATCTCATCGCAAATCCTGCGAATGAACTGGTGAGGAATCACAAAGACCAGGAGGTCTGCGTCTCCAACAGCGTCACTGAGACTTGGGACGGCAATCTGCACACGTGAAGGAGAACAGGCTTTACGGAGTCCCATGGCTAAAAGCTGCAGACACAACCTCATTCACTCCCCAAGAATTTGCCAAGCTACTACTCCATGCCCAGCACCATGCAAAAAACCAGCAAAAGCTAAGAGAAGGGTCAAGATGCAGTGGAAAGAGCTGGAATGGCAGACTCACAAGAAATGCATCCACCACACCTTTGCCTAGGCTGTGCCCCACACCTGAGAATCGCTCTCCCACTTTCACTCCAACTCTGACAGTGCCCAGCCTCCTTCCAGGCTCAGCTTATGAGCCCCATCCACTGGGCAGCCTTTCCTCATCCCCTGGTGGTCAGGACTCGCTTTATTGGATAAGCAGGAAAGTCTTATGTGCACAAATGCCTCGTCTTCTAAAAGAAGTCAGGCACTTTTGTTTGGTTTCTCCTAATACCCCAAGCCCCTAGCACATAGTAGGTGCTTAAAAGCTGCTGCCTGGACTGAACAGGACCTTGCCTTCTCCTTGCCAGGCCACCTGTGCAGGCTCACAGTAAATTCACAACAGTGACGGCTGACGTGGATAGGGCAATGTGAGGTCATCAAAGGGCTCTGCCCATCCATGTCACACAATGACCGCGTGACCGTGAGCGAGCCAGGCCAGCTGTCTGTGCTTGGGCAGCTCCTGAGCCTCCCTGCACTTTAACATGGATTCGGGATAGGGGCAGGGGCCAGGCTGGTGATTTGGTGGATACAGAAAATTCTGGGGTGATAAAACCTCCTCTGTGCCAGCCTTCCTGCACCAAAGACATCCCAGGGATTTCTATCCCCCTCCATTACCTGCCTTAAGGTAATGACCCTCACAAGAGCCCTCCAAGGCTCTTATACCCATTTCCTGCATGAGGAAATTGAGGCCTGGAGAAATGACACAGTGAGAGTAAGGGGCATGAGCTGGAGCCCGAGGCTTCCCGATGCCAGCCTGGTACCCTGTCCACTCAGGCACAAAGCACATTGGTGACGTTGGCACGGGATCCCGGCACAGGGCCCAGACACCTCTCAGCTAATGAAGCCACTTTCCAATAAAAGCGACGTCTGCTTGGCCTTGTCCCGGCCTGAACAAGACGCCTCCCGCTGCCAGGGCGGGCCCCAGGCATCAAGTCTCTGCTTTCTCAACAGCTGGTGGCTTAATTAACTACACAAATACTAAAGGGCCAAGGGAGCTTTTTAAAAGAAATTTCCAGGATCCAGAGTCTGAAGGCTCAGTCATTTGGGTCCAGCTTCATCAAGAACCAGAAACCCAGGGAAATAAACACTCCCCGTGATCGTGACCTCCTCCAAAGGAGGGATACTGGTCCCCTAATTCTTGTCTCCCCTACAGGACTGAGGCAGCCTGGGCAGTTTGCTCCCAGCAGGAGGAAGGACAAGCAGACGGAGGGCAGAGGAATTCACAGGTATGACCACTGAAAACACAGGAAATGGGAAATAGCCAATGGATGGCCAGACTCATAGTTGGGTTCAAATCCTGCCTCTTTTACAGCCTAGCCCTGTGACCCTTGGGGAAGTCTCCCCTTTCCGCAGCTAACCCTTCCCCATTTGGCCACAGGACCCTTTCCCATGTCCTCTATGAACTGGCCCACTCAGCATTCCTAAAGCTGCTCTCCACCTCCTACCTCCCCGGCACCCCCAGACCCACATCGCAACATATTAGTGCCTGCCTCTCACTGCCTTCCACAACCCTTGGTCCCCTCTGCCCTGGGGAGGCCCCAGTGGAGGAGTCATCACCTGAGGTCAGGGGAACCCCACGGGGCCACCACGCCACACACGCCTCACTTACCACATTTTCAGGCAGCTTGTGTCCGGGGAGGTACTTTACATTCTCGTGATCGTTATTGATGATGTCTGTCAGTTTCCGTCCATTCACCGTTTCCTCAAAGACCCACATCTTGACCATTGGGGCAAACTTCTGATGCTTCTTGACATTATTGCCAATGATTTTGGCCACAGCTGAGCCCCTACAGAGAGGGCAGAAAGGACCAGCCACGTCAAGGTCTGCAAAGCCAGGGTCGGGGGCTGGCCCCCCATCTGGCCAAGCGCCATCATCACCCGGCTAAGCAACAAGGTCTGCTCCAACCAGAGGAGGTGCAGGGAACATGGTGAAAACCACAGGAGGCTGATGTCATTCCCAAGGGCCCAGGCATCACCCCAAAGCCCACCCAAGCGGCCTGTGCCAGGTGCTGTGGAGGGGCTGGGCGGGACCTGTAATGGTGATACATGGAACTCTCATGTGAGGAAAAGCCCTCCACGCATGCAGATTGCCTTCTCAGAGTCTCTGAGCAGGGCTTCTGAGTGTTTGATCACTGTACTGTGATGTACTGGCTTCCTTTACGCTCTCTGTATTTCATTTGATGCACTTAAAAACACAATTTGCCAGACCGCCCAACCTGAGGCTTAAGAGAGGCCAGCAGCCCCAGGCCCAGACTCTCAGAGGGGAAGAGTCAAAGTCATGACTTTGGGACACCCCCCCCCAAGTGGGGAGGAGCTTCCGGGGGGAGGGGGTGTTAAATGTACAATATGGGCTTTAAATGCCCCGAAGAGACCAAAGGGGTAATGGGAAGGAATGAGGGTCAGAGCTCTGTTTTAGGAACAGCCATCTGGCCCCTGACAACTCTGAAACAGGAAAAAACAAGAAAAAACACCGGAGAAGACTGGTCTCTGAGGGACAGGGAAGCTGTGGAGGAGTTTCTCACACAAGGACAAGAACGCAGCATTCAGAGGCCTGAAGGGCCATCTGCTTAGGGTTCACAGCCACCTGAATCCCCAGGTAGGATAGCCATTATCACCTCCATTTCACAGGCGATAAAACCGAAGTTCAGACAGCTCCAGAGACTCGCCTGGGCTCAGGCAGCTGGTAAGGGGCGGGTTGGCTCTGAACCTTCCGTTTTCCCTTCAGCCTCTAGACTGTGGGGAACGGGAGTCCTGGACAGTGAGCTGGGATCAGAATCGGACAAGAAGAGGCGGCCATTGGGCCGGATGGCCTCGGGACACTGCTCAGTTCTCTGAATGACTCCAAACTTCTCCCTGAAACCAAGGCCCATCTCTCGCAGAGATGATGTCACAGGCAGGCCCGGCCTCCAAACACTCCACACTGAGGCTCGCCCTGAAAGCCGCAGAGAGGTGCAGCCTGGGACACGAGTCTCCTACCACGGAGCCTGAGGTTGGGGGATCCCACCAAGTGAACACACTAAGTCTGGCACCCACGTGCAGAGCGCCCAAAAGTGGCGGGTAATCAGGCTGAAGCTGCTGTGCCGATCGGCAATGGCACTGGGCCCTGAATGAGCACTCAGCCTCCAGCCTGGACAGTACCGGGAAGCCCAGTCTCCAAAAACGGGGGGGACAAACAGGAAAGGGGGAGGGGGTCACAGTACCAAGGATCACCTCTGCATGCAGAGCTGGAGAGGGTGGCAAGCGAGGAATAACCAGCAGAGACAGCCCTCATACCCTGCTGGCACCCGCTCAGTGCCCAGTGCCAGGCCTTGGCCGAGCTTTCCCATCAGCCTCTCCCTGCCTAGACTCCATCGCGTGGTGGGCCTGCACAGGGAGGCCCACTCAGAGCACCTCCGCTTTCCACGTGGCAGTCCCCACTTGAGATGGGAGGGGAGTCATCCATGACTCTACTCCTTTGGAGACCCCCCAGTGCTCAGCACAGTACTTGGCACATCTCGGACATCTGCATTCATTCACCTCAGATGCCCTGCCGCCCTCTCAGGGGAGCCCAGACAGCCTCAGAGGGACAGACCGGGCCTGGACCGGCGGCTGCCGGCAAGTCTGGAAAGGGCGCCGTGTTGATGAGACGAGGCTGGGCCTCAGAGAAACATGAACAACGGAGTCAGGGGGGCCTCTGGAGACACCTGTTGGCCTCACACGGGGGAAAGGAAACAATCCTGGGCAGGGTCTAAAGCCAATCTTCCCCTTTCCTGTGTTCCTCAGCCAGCCAACAAACATCAAGCCCCTACTATGCGTCAGCACCACACTTAACTCGGTGGGTGACGAATATGGAAAACGGAGTCAGTTCCTGCCCTCGCAGAGCTCACGGCCTAACAGGGGAAGAGGACCCACAAAGGGACAGAAAAGGAGCCGGGGGAAGGGGCCTGATGGAGACGCCCTCAGGGCGTGGAGGGCCGGCAGGAGCCAGCAGAGGACCCCTTTCTCCGCCCTCCAATTTGACGGTGCTGATGAAGTAAGCGTCGCGAGGCCGGGTCAAAGCCTCGGCGCTGAGGCCTCTTATGGGTCCCAACACAGGCATCTATTATGCACCTACTGCGCCAGCCTGTTATTAAGCATCAACTCCGTACCAGCACTGGGCTGAGCATTTCCAAAGCAGGCTTTGCCCTTGGGGGTGAGGCGTGGGGGGGAAGTCCAAGACAACTACTGAATCCCTGGCTCACATCCCGTTGGGGAAACTAAGTGTGAAACTTCCACTATGGAAAATCCTTCCACTGCCTATCTCGGGGGTAGGGAGGGGTAAGCCACCAGCTTGAGGCAGGATTTGAACCCAGATCTTTCTGACTCCAAAGTTGGCCCTCCATCCACTAGGCCAGAGGGGTCAAACAGACCAGGGTCATGTGGGGCCAGGCCCGCAACGTTCCTAAGTGTGGGCCCAAACCAAATAAAAACGTACTTCCTATCTCATTTTAATGTGTTGATGCATTAATAAAAAAAAAAAGAAATTTATAAACACGTGGTTTTCTAAGTCCATATGTGGTCTGCAAGGGTCCTTATGCACAGATTGGTGTTTCTATCTGAGTCTGACCCCCCTGCCAGGCCATGCAGCCTTTCCAATCACCGTTCAGCCCCACTAGGCGCAGGCCTACGGAGGACCCACAGGGCCTGATGAAAGGTGAATCTGGTCAATGAGATGCTTATTGGGGGATCAAAGGGAGAGCTCTTTACTTAAGAGAGACAGATAAAGAATTCTTTATAAACCAGGAGGGGGAAACTCACTGCTGTGGGCATTCTGACATGTTTTCATATTGGATTTCAGAAGAAACATCCCAGAATCCAATCCCGCCGCTCTGTGGGATGCCCATCTTGCACAACCCGTGCCCTGGCCGGCTCTGCCAGCTGAGATGTTCTCATTTTCTGGGCCTGACTAAGGCTCCCTTCATCTCTTCCAAGAAGCTTCCGTACTTCAGAGGGAGCTCGCTCTCCAATCTATCCACAGATCTTCTGCAAACTCTTATAAGTGCAAAATTTCATATATGTATATGTGTGTATACACACACACACACACACACACACACACACACACACACACTCTCAGGCTGGCCAGTGCCAGCCCTGACCAGGCTGCTTTCCCAGAGTGGTCCTGACTATGACAACGACCTTGAGAGGTCTGGAAGCCACACCGTGCCTGGCATACAGCGGGCACTTAACAAACGTGGCGTTGACCATTCAGAGCACTGATTGAAGAGCTTACCATGCACTATGCTGCTCCACAGAACAAAACAGGCCAAACACACACATATATCTCTCTATATAGCTAGCGCTTATCTATCTACCCATCCACTATCAATTAAAATACAGCACCTCCCATCCCCTACCTGAAGGCAGAAACTGGATCTCAATTCACCTTCAGAAGGCCAGGGGCCTATTAGTTTAATAAATGCTTCCTCTTCAGCAGAAGCATTTAAAAGACTCCAGTCCTAACATGATGATATGGGCCCTGAAAAAAAAATGTCAACTCACACCTGTCCAAGCCCACGGGGAGGCCAGGAGCTGGCCTAGCCAACTGGAAACCAAAGTCCCTCAATCGCACCATGGGCAGCGATTCTGAGGATTCAATCTCTCACCCAAGTGGCTAAGAAGGGGCTGGGCTGGGTTGTTCCTTATGGGCCATCCTTTGGAGACAAACAGTTCTCCAACTCCTGGGGTCTGTGGACTGCAGAACACACACCCTAAAGGACCATGCATTCCATTCTTCCTCACAAAACACTCAGAATGTTCCTTCCTTCCTTGCCAGGATCTCAGCTGTCAGGGACCTCTGATGCCCCTCACAGGGATGACCCACCTAACGCCATGCCCACAAGCGGTCCCCTAGAAGAGCCGCTGTGTCTGAAGGTAGCCCCTTTCAGGCCTGCATCAAAATCTTGGCTCACCTCCCCTTTCTCTCTCTCTGACTGCTCCCAGTTTAGTTCTGGCCTCTGGGGCCAGAGAGAGGTCTCTGCGAAGAGAGGTCTGCACTGCCTCACGTGACCGCCCTTCAAACCCTACTCTGCTGTCTTCTCTGCCCTGGCCCCAGGCCCACCACGCACTCCTCTTCCTCCCCCTCCCCTTTCCCTGGCAGGATCCCGGCAGGATCTCTGGTCACTTCCTTCTGGAAGCGCTCAGAATCACACCTCGTGTGCCAGATGGGGTGTGTCCGAGGCACAGGACAAGGGGATCATCACCATCTTTCAGTAACACTTTCAAAGCCCTTAACAAGATTAGGCCCTAAACGTTCATACGTAGTACTGGGTGACTGCTCCAGAGGTGATCCCTAATTAGGACTTGGGGAGTGCCTAGCAAAGAACGGGCAACTCCCAGCTTCAGGAAGTACCTCTGGTGGGCAAGGAGGTCTCAGAGGATGGCCCAGGTTCCAAAGGGGTAGACCTGGAGGAGCGAGGTCATTATGAGGGCAGAAGGCAGCCAGAGAGCCAGGGAAGGACAGAAGTGGCTGGAACACAGCATGCATGAAGGGAGAGATGATGAGATAAAGATGAAAGGAAAAGATCCCAGAGACAAGGCAGGAGGGGGCCATGGAGACCCCCAGCCCAACCTCCTTGTTTTACAGAAGAGGAAACTGAGGCTCAGGGAATGACTGGTAGCTAAATTCATTTGTGTTTCATTGCACTGAGGAGAATGCCAGGCACAGAACCGAATTCACTAGGCAAGGAGGAAGTCTGGAGGAAGCGCGTGGCACCATCCAGCCTGCACAGAAGGAGGCTCAAACCAGCAGCAGCAGGCAGAATGGGGA